TTTTGGTGGACTAGAGTGCAATACGTAGTCAAAACACACCGGGCACTCGGAACCGAGCCGTTAGCTCGGGGGCTGGTCCGGGAACCCAGGCGGACGGGCGCAGGGAGCCAGAGGGGGACAGAGCAACTGAACCGCTTAGCTTTATTATGATTCATTCAGGGACTATGAATCTATTAGTTCAATCTCTAACGTTCTGCTCTCTCTGCTTTTTCTCATAGTAGCTTCATCTGGTCTGTTCCTGTTTGGCTGTGACTCCATCCTGGAGAGAAATATCAGCTGTGCTGCTGCCATCAACACCTTTGTTTCTAGATGTTGGAGCTTGGCCTGTTTTCCAGTGTAGTCCTGTTTCTCTGACTGTAACTAACTGGATGTGCTCTCTTCATCCTCTGACATGTGAGCTGGCTCGGAGCTCGTCTGCCTGGCTCTGTGTGTCCTGGACGGGGCCGCCTGTGGAGCTGGTTGACAGTTGCCTTTTGTATCTATGCTTCTTTTTCTATGTCTGCTTCTGTCTCCTTGAACCCCAGTGGGCCTCAGCAGATGGCCGCTCACACTGAGCCTGGTTCTGCTGGAGGTTTCTTCCTGTTCAAAGGGAGTTTTTCCTCTCCACTGTCGCTACAAGCATGCTTAGTCTGAGGGATTGGATGATCTGATGAACGTCGTGAATTGGTGCTATAGAAATAAACTGAATAGAATTTAAATAATTAAGGCTTTTGTGAACCTGCTATAAATGGGAGCTTCTAGAATAAATAACATTATTTATTCCCCTTTAAGCTCGGTTTATTTTTGTCAACATGTGAATAAAGCATGTTTTCTTTCTTATGACCCCTGGTTGTTCCCGCATGCAGCCGGCTGATCATGGCAGATTTGTTGTCATTTTTCCTGATTAATAAGCATTCCTGCTGCTGGCATGCCGCTCCACAGCGAGCCAGAGGAAAAACCAATCTGCCCCTCATGTTACTGTAATCTGCAGCATGTGACCTCCCCCCCTTTAGCTCGAAGACCGAGGGATGCTGGAAAACCTGCGGGACTCACCAAACCTGCACTGTTCAGTGCGAGAGGATTTAGGGACACATTATATTCCCGGGTAAATCCTCTCCAACTCGTTACCAAATCCTCGCTGCAGGGCTGCTAATCTCCAAAGTGAGACGGACCAGGTGCCAGTCTTTGTGTAATGGAATTGCAAAGCACATTAAGTGATTGCATCAACAATCTCTCACTCCTCCATGAATTAGATTAGACTCGGGAGGGATCACCCCCTCCAAAAAAAAGAGGAAGAAGAAAAAAAAGACCTGCTAAAAGGTGACCAAGGATCCTCCTGCACAGCTGACTGAGACACACTTCCTGTCTGCAGGTTTGAGATTTTATGTGAGCAAATAAATGCAATGATTGAATGCATGCAACCGAGTCTCAGGTCAAACCCAAACACTTTTGGATGCAGGTTTTGTTATCAATATTTATCATATATTATATTATTAGACTATATTTTAAAAACATCCTATAAAAAAGCAGAAATCATGTGAAAACAAATAAGTGGAAGGAAAGATGTTTTCTATAAATAACATCCTGAATAAGATCCTGCTTTCGTTCTGCTGCTTTAGTGACTGATAAATGCAGCAATTAAAATGTCTGAGAGGGAGAAGCTGCTCCAAACACTTCCTGACTGATAAATCAAAGCTTCCCGGCTGTGATTAAAGGATTAAATTGAAATAAAAGCAACATATAGGCTGTAATCTGTGTTTGAACATGACGGGGAACACAAAGCCAGTGATTCATCAGACTGGAGGCGCGGCGGCAGATTAACACGCCGCAGGGCCTCGGTTTGGAGACTCAGCAAACATCTGGAGGCGACTTCATCGCTTTAACTAGACTCTGGATCCACCAACAGCATCAGTTCTGCTCCACCTTTAGTCTGACTAATGAGGCGACGGTAAAAACGCTGAAAAGGATCAGCTTTTCCTGCTCGGCTGCAGAATTTCAACTAAAATAAGATTCTAGGTTAGATATTTATATCCAGGGAATTGGAAAGTCTGTGGACAGAAATCAGATTAGTTGGACATAAAACAGAAACCTAGCGGCACGTAAACATGTTATTTTATATATATGATGAATTAAAATAAACCAGAACATGAGAACAGGAAGACACATCTGTGCGGGAACCCAAACAGCTGTGGAGATTTTTAGCCATAGATTTAGGATGAGCTACGACTAGAATTAACGTTCAACTCATGGTTATTATATTTCTATTAATTTGATGTCTTCTTTATGCATATTGAATATGGGTATTCTCATCTGACATCACCTCATATCAAACTGCTTTAGCTCCCGTCCCAACACTTTATTTTGTGTTCTTGGTTCTCCCGCTCCAGCAGGGGCTCGAACCTCCAGAACAAAACGAGAGCAAATTAAACCCCATGAGGAAAAAGTGGATGAAGAAGATAAAGGCGACGTTCGGTCCTGTGATGTTTATCATCAGGACCGCAGGGAGGAAACAGGAAGCAGCTCCAAGTCCAATTTCCTCAGAGTTCTGCACCGTGTGACAACTCTAAAGACTGATCCTCCTCTACAGAGAGAGATTTGTTCCAAACTGATTGAAAACATTTGAAGAAAACGGGTTTGGAAAACTGAACTTTGAAAGACTTAATAAAAAGAAACAAATGTTTAAAAGTATTTTATAATCTGTATGAAAAAGTTCAATATTTCTTTCCATTTTTTTCCTGTTGTTAATCCAAATACATTTTTTTCAGTTATCTTTTCCCTTTTTATTAGATGTCTTTTCTTTTTTTTTAAGTAGTTTCAAGGTTAGACGGATTTTACAGATTCGTTCTTCCAATCCTGTTTTTTTTTATTATTTCATCCCGTATAATTTTCGGTCGGGCAGCGTTTCTATTGGTAGTGTAAAATGGAAAATTGAGAAAATAAAATCTAAAAAAATTTGAAAAAAAAGTAAAAAATTAAAGTGAAAAAGGAAAATAATGAAAGCTAAAAAATAATTTGTGAAAATAGCATTATGGACTTCTACATTATTATAAATAACTCTCAAAGTCTTTTTTTAAAGATCCATTATCTAAAGTGTGCTTTCTACAAATTGGTTTTTTATCCCGTATAATTCTCGGTCGGGCAGCGTTTCTATTGGTAGTGTAAAATGGAAAATTGAGAAAATAAAATCTAAAAAAAAAAAGAACATAAAATCTAAAGAAAACATTGAAAAAAAACTAAAAATTAAAGAGAAAAATCGGAAAATAATGAAAGCTAGAAAAATAGCAAACATATATTAAGGACTTCTACATTATTATAAATAACTCTCAAAATCTTTTTTTAAAGTTCCATTTTCTAAAATGTGCTTTCTACAAATTTGTTTTTTAAAACATGTTTTCTTTCAATAATTTTGGGCCAAATCTCTCCGTACTCCTGGTTGGTTTAAGTTGGGCTTACACCGTGCGATTTTTTGCCCTTTTCAGGCCGACTTTCCAGTTGTGCCAGAATTTTTCTATTAGCCCGACTTTCAGCCTGATGGTGCGTCGCGCTCAGGGCGTAACGAGGCGCGATCAGCCTCTTGTGACCTCCTCCCGATCAGGAATCGTGAGGTCGGGAGGAAATCAACCGTGTTTGAAATTCGTACGGTGTCGGGAAGCTGGACATAAACTGTGCGATTTTTTTGCCCTTTTCGGGGCGACTTTCCAGTCGTGCGAGCATTTTCCGATCCTGCCAACTTTTAGCCTGATAGTGCATCGTGTTAACCTGACTCCGCCAGATGGATTTGCTCCGCATATCCATTTTGAAACCTTCCGTTGAAGTAATTTTGGGAAGGGGCGAAAATACTGGTTAGCTGATTGGCCTATGTTGGTGATAGACGGGCCAAATAAACCAATCAGATCAACGAAGCATATGACGTACTAACAGAGCGACGACGAAGAGGAGCCAATTGATAGATCAAACTCTTGCTGAAACCAGTCTTTTCCTCTGAGAAAAGCCTCCAGAGCAGTGTTTTGCTCTTCTTTCAGGGAAGAAATACTCTGTAATTCCGATAAAACTTGCTCGATAGCCACGCTAACGCTAGTTTCATCGGCTGAAGCCGCCATGTTCTTTAGACTGAACTGTCGCGCTTCTCGTTGCGTCACACCTCAACCCGCCTCAAAGCCAACGCTGATTGGACGTTCGTTTGGTGAACGGCTCCAAATTTTCTTCAACGGAGAGTCTCCAGACTGATTAGCGAGTGAAACCTTGAAAGCTCGCGAGATCAGGATGGTCTCACGAGGCTAGCATCGTGAGACTGGCGATCAGTCTCTAACGACCACCTCTTCATCAAGACTAGTGTTTGATTTTCTCCCGACAAATCGCAAGGATTCTTCTTCTTCTTCCTCTCAGATGAAAACGCAGAATAATGGCGGGGGTGCAAAGAGTGAAATGGAGTTCTTTCTGTAAAATTGACAGATCGTAGTAGCCACGTTTGCTCAGCCACGTCTTTTTCCAAATACGTTGTTGCGTTTCACTCTAGCGAGCTTCATATTCCTCTTCTACTCGTTTGGCTTCTGGAAAGATGAGTCCGAGTGGGACTCCTAGGTGGGAGCTGAGTCCCACCCGGTTTTTAGACGTACAGTGTGAGCAGGTAGATCGCATTGGAGCGTCGCACAGTGTGAGAACAAACATCGTGATCGGTAAACTTTTAAACCCTGCGGTTTCGTCGTACAGTGTGAGCTGTAGCTCCGTGCAACGCTTGAATGCATGCAACAGAGTCTCAGGTCAAACCCAAACACTTTTGGACGCAGGTTTTGTTATCAATAGTTATCATTTATTATATTTCTAGACTATATTTTAAAAAACATCCTATAAAAAAAAGCAGAAATCATGTGAAACGTCTCAGTATTGTAGCAGATTTAAGAGTCTGTATAGTTTGGCTAACACCTCGTCGTTTCTCTGCGTGCAGCTCAGGCTAGATGAACCGGGTTCTGCTCCCTATGGGGTGGGGATGTGCGGCGAAGCTGAAGAAGAAGTTCCCCTCATTTATCGGGAACCAGCAGGATGAAACCGTCTCGGCTCTTCTTGAAGTCTGCGACGGTCTGCCCCGCTTTGGTTTCCACGGTGACGCTCTTGGGTTTGCCTCGCATGTGGAGCTGCAGCGCCGAGCGGCAGACCTTCACGGGGAGCAGACCTTTCCTGATGCTGGGAGACAGAGAACATCGGTTAATCAGGGACCTTGTGTCTCCATCAGCGACCTGCAGATTGAAATCAGACGGATAAACAGTCACCTGATCTTTGAAAAACTTCCTGCTTTCAAAACTTTAATGCAAAGGTTTATAAAATCCACAGAGCAACAAGTCTCAGTTATTTATTCTAAAGAGTCTAGTGTTGATATAAATGCATGTATGACATTAATGATCATATTTAACATGATTTCAGAGGTAAAACCTAGTCTGAAATTCACCCAGTTGTCAGAATGCAGGAAGGCAGTTAAGATAATGATATAAAGAACCACAAAAAAACCTAAAAAGGAAAGAAGGAGAGCCAGGCAGAAATGATGGGAATACTTTATGAAAACAGATTCACAGGAGTGTCGGTTGGATCCTTTTCTCTCACAGATTGTTATCATTAATTAGAAGAAACGTGTCGCCATCTTCTCTTCATTGGCTTCCTGTTAAATCCAGAATAGAATTTAAAATCCTCCTTCTCACATATAAAGCCTTAAATGGCCAAGCTCCATCTGATATCAGAGATCTGATTGTTCCTTATGTTCCTAACAGAGCACTTCGCTCTCAATCTGCAGGTTTACTAGTGGTTCCTAGAATTTCTAAAAGTAGAATGGGAGGCAGATCTTTTAGTTCTCAGGCTCCTCTCCTGTGGAACCAACTACCAGTTTTAGTCCGTGAGGCAGACACCCTGTCTACTTTTAAGGCTAGGCTTAAAACTTTCCTTTTTGATAAAGCTTCTAGTTAGAGTGGCTCAGGTTATCCTGAGCTATCTCTATAGTTATGATACTATAGGCTTAGACTGCTGGAGGACATAGGGACCCCTTTTTCATCATTCTGCTTCATTCTATCTCTATTCTCCCACTCTGCAGAATCTGTTAGTTCAATCTCAATCTACAGGTTTAATAGTGGTTCCTAGAACTTCTAAGTACGTTTATTGGTACTAAAGTGCTGTTTTAACGGCAAGTAGGGGAGACGTTGCAGGACATCCTAAGTTCCGAAAACTAATTTAAGGGAGATGCTTATTGAACCCCCGCCCCGTGAGACAACTGACCCGCACTGTGCCCCATACATACACACTTCTTCACTAGACGTGGATATACTTTAGTATATTCTGCTGTAAGATGAGTCTTATATTTTTGTTTTTTACTCGAGGATTCAACCTCTGCCGTTTCACAGGATGCACAGCTTTGAGCGGCAACTAGGGAGTAAACTTCTGACTAATGCAATAAGCGCCAATGGTGTAACGACACAACAAGAGGCCCGTAAGCACCATTATGTGGGTGGGCCCCATATGAAGTACAACAAGTGATAAAGGTTCAGGATATGGAGACAGTTCGATAAAATAACCAAGAAGATACAATTATGCAATTCTGAGTAGTATATGATCACACACGGAAAAATTGTGACTGCGCACCGTGAATGGAACCATTGGTGACAGCGCACCACCACATGTTAGCACAACAAGCCATCTGGCTACCTTTAGCTTCACAGCCCCCCCTCCTCTCCAACGCTCTCTACATTCATTTCCTGGTCGCAATCATAAGTCACTGTAGCAGCAACGGCCTAGCCTCGTGAGACCATCCTGATCTCGCGAGCTTTCAAGGTTTAACTCGCAGATCAGTCTGGAGACTCTCCGTTAAAGAAAATTTGGAGCCGTTCACCAAACGAACGTCCAATCAGCGTTGGCTTTGAGGCCGGTTGAGGTGTGACGCAACGAGAAGCGCGACAGTTCAGTCTAAAGAACATGGCGGCTTCAGCCGATGAAACTAGCATTAGCGTGGCTATTGAGCAAGTTTTATCGGAATTACAGAGTATTTCTTCACTGAAAGAAGAAATATAATAAATGATAACTATTGATAACAAAACCTGCGTCCAAAAGTGTTTGGGTCTGACCTGAGACTCGGTTGCATGCATTCAATCTTTGCACGGAGCTACAGCTCGAACGCTATACGACGAAACACAGGGTTTAAGAGTTTACAGCTAACGATGTTTGTTCTCACACTGTGCGACGCTCTGATGCGATCTAGCTGCTCACACTGTACGTCTAAAAACCAGGTGGGACTCAGCTGCGCAGTGAGATGGCGCTACACGGACTCGTCTATCCGGAAGCCAAACAGTAGAAGAGGAATATGAAGCTCGCTAGAGTGAAACGCAACAACGTATTTGGAAAAAGACATGGCTGAGCAAACGTGGCTACTACGGTGTGTCAATTTTACAGAAAGAACTTAATTTCACTCATTGCACCCCCGCCATGCTTCTGTGTTTTCATCTGAGAGGAAGAAGAAGAAGAAGAATCCTTGCGATTGGCCCATGACGGTCGGGAGAAAATCAAACACGATTCCTGATGGGGAGGTGGTCGTTAGAGACTGATCGCCCCTCATTAACCACTGTACACTACACGATGCTAGCCTCGTGAGACCATCCTGATCTCGCGAGCTTTCAAGGTTTCACTCGCAGATCAGTCTGGAGACTCTCCGTTAAAGAAAATTTGGAGCCGTTCACCAAACGAACGTCCAATCAGAGTTGGCTTTGAGGCGGGTTGAGGTGTGACCCAACGAGAAGCGCGACAGTTCAGTCTAAAGAACATGGCGGCTTCAGCCCATGAAACTAGCGTTAGCGTGGCTATCGAGCAAGTTTTATGGGAATTACAGAGTATTTCTTCACTGAAAGAAGAGCAAAACCCTGCTCTGGAGGCTTTTCTCAGAGGAAAAGATGTTTTTGCTCTTCTCCCGACTGGTTTCGGCAAGAGTAGCCTGGCTTGTGGTTGTGTTTTCGTCGTCGCTCTGTTAGTACGTCATATGCTTCGTTGATCTGATTGGTTTATTTGGCCCGTCTATCACCAACATAGGCCAATCAGCTAACCAGTATTTTCGCCCCTTCCCAAAATTACTTCAACAGAAGGTTTCCAGATGGATATGCGGAGCAAATCCATCTGGCGGAGTCAGGTTAACACGATGCACTATCAGGCTGAAAGTCGGCAGGATCGGAAAATGCTTGCACCACTGGAAAATCTAAGCCAACTTGGAAAATTGCCACCGGAAAGGGCAAAAAAATCGCACAGTGTACGCCCAGCTTTACGACACCTTACAAATTTCAAACATGTTTGATTCCTCCCGACCTCACGATTCCTGATCGGGAGGAGGTCATGAGAGGCTGATCGCGCCTCGTTACACCCTGAGCGCGACGCACCATCAGGTAGAAAGTCGGGCCAATAGAAAAATTCTGGCACGACTTTAAAGTCGGCCTGAAAAGGGCAAAAAATCGCACAGTGTAATCCCAACTTAAACCAACCAGGAGTACGGAAAGAGATTTGGCCCAAAATTATTGAAAGAAAACATGTTTTAAAAAACTAATTTGTAGAAAGCACATTTTAGAAAATGGAAGAGTTATTTATAATAATGTAGAAGTCCTTAATATATGTTTGCTATTTTTTTTAGCTTTTATTATTTTCCGATTTTTCTCTTTAATTTTTAGTTTTTTTCAATGTTTTTTTTACACTGCTCTGGAGGCTTTTCTCAGAGGAAAAGATGTTTTTGCTCTCCTCCCGACTGGTTTCGGCAAGAGTTTGATCTATCAATTGGCTCCTCTTCGTCGTCGCTCTGTTAGTACGTCATGTGCTTCATTGATCTGATTGGTTTATTTGGCCCGTCTATCACCAACATAGGCCAATCAGCTAACCAGTATTTTCGCCCCTTCCCAAAATTACTTCAACGGAAGGAGTCAGGTCCTAAAAGAGGAGCCTCTGCTTGCTTTGAGGAAAACATTCAAGTCAGACTTAGAAAACCTTCAGTATGAGCTTCATCAAACGAGACGATGGAGAAAGTGAGACCAGTTTCTCTACTTGACTTTGTTGTGTTTTTTGGAACCTTATAAAGAGGTTTTCCATGATTTTTTTAGGCAGCATAAAATTAAGCTTGTGGTTCCAGTTAGCACTGCATCCTCCGAAAGAAGTTTCTCTGCCTTTAAATTAATAAACACACCATAAGTCAAGAATAGCAGATATAGATGAAGACACCTGGGCATACTCATACCTAAATATGGAAAACTGTAAAACATTTTGCTTCATCTCACCAGAACTGCAGGATTTTGCCGTTCTGATTGTTTTTGTGAACTCGGTGTTGTCATATCACCAGGCAGAGGTCAACTATAATCAGTTTTAAAGAGCTTTATGTGTTTCTGTTTTGTTTTTTCTATTCTTCTTCTTCTTGTGGTTCACATTTAAAAGCACTGCCTTGTTTCGACACATCCAAATTTACCTCAAGTTTTTGTTTCCTCCTGGATTTGATTAGTCCAAGGAACACATTGAGTACTTGTTTATTTCTATTTTTGCTGTACACTTAATAAAATAATCTGTTTGTTATGTAACTGAACCTTTTATATATTGACCCCGCCCAAAATAATACCGTGCCAGCCCTGTTTTAAAAGCCTAGCTCCGGCTCTGTCTGTGTGACCCATGTTTTATAATGGAGAGCTTCTTTTCCAGAAGGTATTTCTTTCTGTGTTTCCATTGTCCAATGACGTCCATCAGCAGTAGGGACCCTTTCCTGCCCTGAATAGTGTTCTTACTGTTGACCTCATAAAAAAAGTGAAGAATGGGAGCTAAGATGAGGAGGTAGGAGCTACTATTTGGGGTATTTGGGTTGAACCCCAGGCTGATAATGTGCGGAAATGAACCATATCTGGGTTGCCTGTTAGACTTTGTGTTAAACTGGAATTCCACGGATATCCTGGATCCTAAGGAGGACATTCCTTCTCATTTCATTGCATGTTTAATGTCTCTGAAATAAGGAATAATTTGGTGGGTGAGACTTCAGCATAAACTGCTGATTGATTTGATATTAAACTGTGAGATAAATTCTAGTTAGAAAGCAAAGAAAAACTTTTCCAGGTTTGTTTTTTGGTGTTTTGCAGATATTTTACTAAAACCTGAGATTTTTTTTAAATAAAAAAGACGATGTGACTTCATGGGATCCG